TTACTTTTAATTTTTTACTTAAAGCTTTTATTTTTAATATTTTAATATATAGGGATATATGCATGCATAAAATTTTAATTTTATTTCTTTATATTACTAATATTCAAATTCCAAGTTGAAAAATTTTTAAAATAAAAATCAAACATATATTACTTGCACTTAATCTAACTGTAATAATTTGAACTCAAATTTCTTTATAAAAATATGAATTTTATATTCATATTTATTTTTTTTTTTTTCAGAACTTTTAATTCTTCCTAACTTTATTATAAAGCATTAATGCGTGTGCATTAATTTTACTATATTTTTATTTTGAATTCATTTTACTGATAAAAATTAAATAGTTTATTAAATTATTACATAATTATCAAAATAAGTACAATGTTTTATAAATTATAATAAATATCATAGAAATTTAATTTTGTAAAATTTATATATATATATATATATATATATATATATATATATATATATATATATATATATATCATCTTATTTTGATATTTTTTATCTATATGTTACTATTTGTTTATAAAAATATTATTGCATGTACCATTTTATTTGATATTATTTTTTTTTTTTTACCTATTAAGTAGCTATTATATAACATTATTACTTTACTATCCTTAGTTGTACATAACTATTAAAATAAAATTAATATAAATTTTGTTATTTTTTATAATTAATATAATAAATATTATATAATTGCAATTTAATAATTCTATAAATAATAATATTATGACATCATTTTTATATCTATTTTTTTAATTGTTTATAAAGAATATTATTTTCTTTAATTTATTTAGAATTTTTCTTAATAAACTAAAGAAAAACATTATTTTTATGTTGAAAAAATTCTTTATTATTAGCTTTTTTTTATTAAATCTGTAGTATTAATATTTAGATTTTTCATTTCTTTTATGTTTCATGCAAGAAAGCATGAACAATAATATAAAATTAAAAAATTTGTACTATGAATAATAAATTTTATAATAATATATTTTATGAAGGGAACGAAGACATGTAATTAAATTATAATAGTTAAGTAAAAATATATGCATTATATTTAAATTTTTTATAAGTATATGTTATAAACTAAATTTGTTTTAAGATAAAAAATATATATACATAAATAAATGTAAGAATTTAAAAAAATAATATTTCTACAAAAATATAATAAGATATATGTAAAATTGTAAGAGATAAAAAATAAGAAAAATAAATATATGTTGCATTAATTTTAAAAATGGCACTTCTATATAATGAAGGATGTGAAAATTCTGAAAAAGACATTACCGAATGTAATGTGACTGCATGTGTTTTACATGGAAGTAAATTTAAATCGGTTAAGTGTGACCCTGCATTTAAAGAAGTTATAAAATATTCGCAAAAAAATTCTGGAGATGATATTAAGAAAAATATTTTTGTATTTGAAGATACTCCTCCACCTTATAAAAACGACGCCAAAATAACTTTTCTTTCACAAGATAGCAATAATGATATTGTGTTTCTATATGAAGTGAATTCAAAGGAAGGCTATTCTTCAAGTTTAGTATTTTTATGTCGTTTTCGACATTTAAAACCAGGATTATCATTATGCCAAGAAGTTAATAAAGATCATGTAGGAAGACCTCTTTCATTTAATACTATTGATGTACTTGATAGAGAAAATGAAAATTATTTTCAAAATAGATTAAAATATTTAAAAAATGAAAGACATGCAACTCGTAAAGCAAGATATGAAGAAATTTTTTTTAGTAAAGATTCATGCCACTATGTAACAGAAGAAAATTCATCAGAACAAGTTTGTAGATTTTCCATATGCAAGAAGTATTCTAATGGTGGTGCATATTGTAAAGATGCTAAATTTAATGGGAGATTATGCCAACTAGAACCATCTAATGGGCCAAAAGAACCTACTAAATTTATATATCTTCCAAATAGTTGTTTAAATGAAAATTCAGATCATTGTACCCCATATCTGTGTCAATACGAGAGACCTAATGAATTATATCCATGTAGTAAGTTAGAAATTAGTTCGGTAAAAGGATTAATGCCACATTCACAAAGACAAGCATTGGAATATAGACAGAATAGATATATGTCTAATGAGGATAATTATTCATCTAGTCTTATTGCAATGTCTTTTTTTCCTTTCTTAATTTTGTTTTTTTTTGTAGGATGTTATCTATATAAAGTACTTAGAAGAAACAGAAAAAAAGTAAGTTATAAATAATTTATGAATATTATTTATCCTATTATATATATACTTTACCATTATATTTTTTCTATTTTTTAATATATAAAGATGAAAATATAAATAAAAATATATATTTGTTATATACATTAAATAAATCCTATTTTTTTTTCTTCAGAAGAGATATGCTTCATATAAAGAACCATAAATGCTAAGTTTATAAATAAGATCTGATATGCTTACAACCGTAGATGTTTATATAATTAATTACAGGAAATTTATATTTTTGGATTTAATACTTTTATTAAAATTCTTATTTACCATAAATTTTCCTAATTATGTAGAATATAAAAATTTTATACAAATATGTATAATATGAAATTGAAATTAAAATTTTTTTATGTATAAATTCTATAAATGTTAAACACCTTTTTTTATGTGAAGGAATTCATATTCTTATATATAACATGAAATATAAATATTATGGAAAAAATATATATACAAATTATACTTTAATATATATTGTTTATTATTTTCCAAAAATAAAATGAATAAATAATTTTTATTAATATACTAAAATAAAATAAATGTTTTGTTGTTTTATTATTAAATTAACATTAATTTGATTAATAAATTTATTTGAATTTTAAATTTATATTAATTCCTGTAATATTTATATTTGTTTTTAACTTTATTATTCATTTTTAATTTTGTTTTATTTGTTANAAATTTGTTTTAAGATAAAAAATATATATACATAAATAAAAGTAAGAATTTAAAAAAATAATATTTCTAGAAAAATATAATAGGATATATGTAAAATTATAAGAGATAAAAAATAAGAAAAATAAATATATGTTGCATTAATTTTAAAAATGGCACTTCTATATAATGAAGGATGTGAAAATTCTGAAAAAGACATTACCGAATGTAATGTGACTGCATGTGTTTTACATGGAAGTAAATTTAAATCGGTTGAGTGTGACCCTGCATTTAAAAAAGTTATAAAATATTCGCAAAAAAATTCTGGTGATGATATTAAGAAAAATATATTTGTATTTGAAGATACTCCTCCACCTTATTGGGACGACACCAAAATAACTTTTCTTTCACAAGATAGCAATAGAGATATTGTGTTTCTATATGAAGTGAATCCAAAGAATGGCTATGCTTCAAGTTTAGTATTTTTATGTCGTTTACGGAATTTAAAACCAGGATTATCATTATGCCAACAAGTTGATAAAAGTTATGTAGAAAGACCTCTTTCATTTTATACTATTGATGTACTTGATAGAGATAATGAAAATAATTTTCCAAATGGTTTAAAATATTTAAAAAATGAAAGACATGCAACTCGTAAAGCAAGATATGATCAAATTTTTTTTAGTAAAGATTCATGTCACTATGTGACAGATTCAAATTCATCAGAACAGGTTTGTAGATATTCCGTATGCAAGAAGTATCCTAATGGTGCTTTATCTTGTAAAGATGCTAAATTTAATGGGAGATTATGCCAACTAGAACCATCTAATGGGGTAAAAGAACCTACTAAATTTATATATCTTCCAAATGATTGTATAAAAGGAGATTCAAATTATTGTACCCCATATCTATGTCAATACGAGGAACCTAATGAATTATATCCATGTAGTAAGTTAGAGATTAGTGCGGTAAAAGGATTAATGCCACATTCACAAAGACAAGCATTGGAATATAGACAGAATAGATATATATCTAATGAGGATAATAATTCATCTAGTCTTATTGCAATGTCTTTTTTTCCTTTCTTAATTTTGTTTTTTTTTATAGGATGTTATCTATATAAAGTACTTAGAAAAAACAGAAAAAAAGTAAGTTATAAATAATTTAAGTATATTATTTATCCTATTACATATATACTTTACCATTATATTTTTTCTATTTTTTAATATATAAAGATGAAAATATAAATAAAAATATATATATGTTATATACATTAAATAAATCCTATTTTTTTTTTTTTTCAGAAGAGATATGCTACATATAAAGAACCATAAATGCTAAGTTTATTAATAAGATCTAATATGCTTACAAGTGTAAATGTATATATAATTAATTACAGGAAATTTATATTTTTGAATTTAATACTTTTATTAAAATTCTTATTTACCATAAATATTCCTAATTATGTAGAATATAAAAATTTTATACAAATATGTATAATATGAAATTGAAATTAAAAGTCTTTTATGTATAAATTCTATAAATGTTAAATACCTTTTTTTATATGAAGGAATTCATATTTTTTATATAACATGAAATATAAATATTATGGAAAAAATATATATACAAGTTATACTTTAATATATATTGTTTATAATCATCCAAAAATAAAATGAATAAAAAATTTTTATTAATATACTAAAATAAAATAAATGTTTTGTTGTTTTATCATTAAATTAACATTAATTTGAGTATTAAATTTATTTGAATATTAAATATATATTAATTCTTGTTGTAATAATTATGTTTGTTTTTAACTTTATTATTCATTTTTAATTTTGTTTTATTTGTTAATTTTAATTATGTTTTATTTTTTTTGTTTTATTATTTAATTTTAACATTATATATTTAGTTTCTACTATTAGATTTGAGTATAATTTCTATATTTAATATTAATTTTAATGATTAATGAAAGCTTTTTTTTCATATTGTAGAACACAAAGTTTTTTTTATTTATAATAAATTTCCAAAACTAAATTATTATATATATATAATTAAATAATGCTAAAATGTTTGTACAACAATCACAAAAACTATATAAATCGTTTGCGTTATATTTAATTTTTTCATATTATATATTTTTCTATTTTCTTTAAACATACATATATTTAAAATTATTCAATAAAATAAATACATACATAAATTTAAAAATATCATTTAAATATATTTCTTAATACATCAAATATTTCAATTGACGAAAAAATATGTGAATTTAGTAAAATTTACGTGAAAAATATATTATTTTATATTAAAATTTCTTTCTTTT